TCCACCCAAATCCCCTGCATTGACAAAGATAGGGTTCCATGAACAGCCAGAAACATGAGTAAGAAACTGCCCTACCTTGAGCATATGTGGCATGCTAAAAGCCTGGGGCATATACATGGAGAGTATTCTCTAGGGAGTTCCAGGCTGAAAAGTAAAACAGTGCACTTTGGCTCTGGGCATTGTAAATCTATTCTGGACCACAAAGAGAAAACAAAAATCCTAGATTCCTTTAGAGGCATGTCACACCAGCCTGAAGCTTCATCCACTTAATCTAGTTGGTGACATCCCTTTCAACAAGCAGACAGGGTCTATTTCAGAATCCAACAGGTAACTGAGGTTCAACATTTCGTGGCTGATTCCTGAGAAGATCAGGTAGACTGTAGCTACTCCTCTGGCAGGGAGGTCTGTGGTATTTACAGCTCAGTGAACAGTGAGGCGGTGGAGAGCACCATCCATCAGCAGAAGAGAATCATCTGCTACTTGATCTGACATTCTGTTCCCACTCACACGGTCTCCAGGAGCAAGGTGCATCAGTATGAATAAACATGGGGACAAGGGAGGAGAGGGAGAAAGCTGCCAATGAGATGGCTGCAGAAACAACAAGGCCTCACACCTAGAGGGGCAGTTCTCTGCGGACTTCTGCCCAGAAACCCTTTGGGGATGTGCAGGAAATGCCCTTGTAATGGCCAAGATTTCCCATGGAAAGACTGCACGTTGCCATTCGCTCCACAGATGCCTGCTCCTTAGTAGGTGCTAAAGAGCAGAGTGTTGAATGAATGCAGGCTTGGCCCGGACCTAAGCCAAGCAGCAGAACCCTAACGAGGGCAAACTGTGGTGCCATGGAAACTCCGCAGTTCACTTTACATTTTCATCAGGTAGACGATGCAAGCGGTTGTCACTATTTGTTCAGAACAGGAAGTCACTTGAGTCCATACTTCATAAAATAGAATTCCCTTAAGATGTTTCTTTGTAAAGGTTTTGTAATTAAGTACGATAACACCCACTTTAAAAATCATGATTCGGGGCCCTTCCTGGTGGCGCAGCGGGTTAAAGCACAGCACTAAGAAGCTAAAGCCACTTCAGCATGAGTTCGATCCCTGCCCCGGAGGTGACCCACATGGCACGGCAGACCTCTCCTGACCCGCCCACTGCTCCCCTCAGCAGTGCACTTTGTGGATCTGCCTGTTCTGCTCCCCTCTCTTTCTCTGGTGAATCCTCTCACCGCCCCTGCACCTCTGGCCTATACCCCAGCTCTGTAAGCATAAATCAATAAATCTTTAAAAAAAAATCTTGATTTGGCTGAATAATTAGAAGAGTCCCAGTGATAGGCTACAAAAATGATGTCACAGGTGAGGGCGCAATCTCCTAACAAGCGAGATGACTTCAAATGCCACACACACACAGAGTCACTGATTACTCAGAGTATGAGTAAAATGATCTTTGTGCTCTCTCAATTACCATTGTTTATTTCTTCCAAAGGAAACAGTTTGGATTGTCTGACATCAAACTCCCAAACACTAGGTCACAATCACATACTCGAAGGAATAAAAACAAACCCAGAAACTACATCCATATCAAATTTCTACCAAAGTATTAAGAACCAAGCTTTTAGAACGATAATCTGTAGCACCTTTTACATGGATGCCAATTGCTCATTAGAACATGCATCAAGTGAAAGAATTTCAAAGGTCAGTCCCTTCTGCAATGTTCCTAGCTTGATGAGCTTATTAAGACTTTGCTCTGAGCAGCATCTCCCAGCAAGTCCCTTATCATATAATTCCAGTTGCCACAGGCAAATATGGAAGCCTATTCATTCCTCTAATAGGCATGCCACCGCACGAATGTGAACACAGGCTGCATGGAATGTCTCTCTGCTCTTCTGAAAATGTTGATTAAAAGGGGTCTGAAGATAACATGACTATCAAGATTCTTCCTCTCAGTCCCGCAAGCTGACCTGTCATGTTCCAGTCCCCACTAGGAAATCTCCTTTTCACAGGGCATTACTTAAGGAGAACTCTCATTTCATCTGCCCAGGTGAAGTAAAACAACATCCTCTTTAAGTCACACCATGGCCAGGTAGTTGGGCACCAATGGAATGGAACAGGAACGTCAGAAACTGCCTCTGAAATGCCATCTAGATTTCTGGCCAACCCACCCATGCACAGCCCCGGTTCAACCGATTCTGAGTCGAGTGGTGATGGGGAATGTCATCTCTGCAAGGGAGGACTCAAAGAACTTGTCACTAGGATACAGTGACACCAATCCCACATTCTGTGGTTAATAAAACAAGTTCTGCATCCAGCTTGGCACGAGGCCCTGATCTGATTTATTTCAAGCCAACTGGAGGGCTCACAGGAAAAGCAGCCATTCATGAATGCTTCAGGGTGCTGGGGTCCACTGTTCACCAAATTTGCATGGGCCAAAATCCTTGACCTTCCAGCAAATGTAGTCTCTTTCCTTGAGAGAGTTGGTATATCATTGCTGTTTTAGAAAAAATATTAATAGGCCTACCTATAAAATCTGTTTTGCCTGATATTTTTCTCCCCAAAAGTGTAGAAGGGTAGGTGAAGGAAAACTGCAGGTAAAAGAGAAGAATTGCTTGGATAGCTGATTTAAAACATCTCCAAGCCAAAGCCCTTGATACTTCTTTTTGGTCACTGTAACCAATATGAGACACATGAGACTTTCCCAGAAAAGACTACATACAACCTTCATTTAAGTCTTCATTCGTGCCCCAGGATATAATTAGGAAATTTCATTCTAAAATGGCACACCTCTCTCCTCTGAGGGCTCAGCTCACTTTGAATAAAAACAGCGAGGTACCCTTTGGGGGACTTAGTATATATTTTTAAACTTCTTATTAAATCAACCTAATTTATGGGACATGTTCAAGGAAAGCAGATAAGGAGCTGCTTTGATACGGATATGCAAAGTTAATGTGCAGACTCTAGCATCCCTCCTTTACCTGCCCCCACCCCTCCACCGAGCCCTTCCGAATGCCTTCGGTACCCATCGCAGCGGCTCGGTTCTCTCCGCCCAGACCCCGACTCGTTTCCGAACAGTGCCGAGTCCCTCCGAGCCCCGCGCCCAGCCCGCGCCAAGCAGAGCCGAGCGCTGCCGAGCTGAGCCCCATCGACTTTTCCGGTCTCGGCTGGGCGCTGTCCACCACTCGCAACGCCTGAAACCTCACCCAGCTCTGGTGGCCGAGGTTTCTACAGGGCTCCGAGCCCGCCACTGCAGATTACAGACTTCTGAAGTTTTGAAGCGTTCCCTTTTGGAAGAAAAGGGGTGACGCTACTTGCATTCACTGATCTGCAAGGGCTCCAAGCAGATGCAACATGCACCTTGTTGCAAAGAGCAATTCCCCAGGCCCCGCCTCCCCATCCATTTGGGTTGCACTAGCTCCAGAGAAGCCCCGGGCCAAATTACCCTAGACTCAGAGGGCCGCGTGAGCTGAGGGGCCCTTTGCAAAGAAAGCCCCCAAGGAGCTCTTGAACAAAAATAAGAACATGTCAAACAGACGGGTGAAATTGTCTCCGAGTCGCTGCTCCCTACCATCATGGCGCCGCCTAGAACCCGCTTGTCATGCCTGTTACACATGCAAGAATTTTTGCATCTTAGTCCTGAAACCACAAACATGTCTCGTTTCCCACCCACCTTTCCACGAAAGGGGTTTTTATTTTCCATTGTTTTCCTACGGGATGCAATTACTTCGGCTATTCTGTCAAGTTGAAAAATAATCATTTTTGTTTACGGCACAGCAACCCCTAATTAGGAGCTGTGTGTGCACGAAGGTGTCACAGCAAAGCTTAGTGGAATCCTCGCTAAACGGTCTTAACGAACTCCCCTGTCCTGGACTGACAGGCCAACGGAAGCAGGGGAGCCAGGAGGCTCGGAGGGCGGGGACCCCCTTCCCTAGCGACCACCCCTTCCCCAAGCAAAGCTGCCTGAAGGTTCACCAGGAACTGCCAAGTGGTTGGGCAAGAGGCAAGCCTGAGTAGGAAGGAGGGGCGAGGCTCCTTATTAAGAAAGTGTGGAAGGGAAGGAATATCCCATTTTGTTTTAATTTTCAACCATCACTCAAATCCACCCCCAGTTAATTAGGAGGGGAAACTGATACCTAAGGCAGAAGGGGGCGGCAGCAAGTGGGACCTGAAATCCGCATTGTGGGGAGATTACATAGAGCCCGGCCTATGCAGAGTGTAAATAAATACATTGATAAAGGCCATAGAGTGCAGGAAAACTGCCAGTGTCAGGAGATCAAATACTGGGAGGGTGGGGGAGGATGGGAGCAGCAAGGGGCGGGCATTCAGCTTCACAGCCAGGGCTCCCTTCCACCTCTGCCTCGGGTACAGCTGTGGCAGTCACATCCCTCAGAAGCCCACCCCCTCTCCTACTCCATGCCCCTTCGCCTAACCCTTGTCTTAGGGGGTGGGTTGGCGAGCAGTAACCAGTCTCCAATTCAGCACCAAATCCATGAACAGCAGACACAGATTCCTCCCCACCCCAGTCTAGTGCTGGGTCCCCTCCATGTTTTAGCCAAGTTCAAAACCACTGCCCCTCCCCCCCCCGTGTGATTATGGATAATGGGGGGGTGGGGGGAGGGGAGGGAAGAGAGATAGAGAATGAAACGGAAACAGAAATAAAGGCAGTGATACACACGAACCACCCCCACGAGCAAAAGTAATGATCATAATCATGCCAATAGTGTGATGTTCTGATCAATATGGCGGACGCTGTCATTCATACAACTACAGGCGGTCCCCTTCCCTCCCCCCTAAAAAAAAAAAAAGCCACCCAGCCCGGGGTGGAGGACCCAGAACCAACGTAGGGGGAGGGGGAGGGGATTCAAATTCAGGTGTGTGTGTGTGTGGTGCGTGCTAATGTGTGCACGCATTAAAACCGGGCCTGGAGAGCAATGTGGAATGAACAAGGCAATACAAATAGCAAAAAAAAATTATTCTAATAAAAGTACAAATCCCAATGCTACAGGGACTTACTTCATCTGCTTCACAATGGTGCTTTTTCCTGATTCTCCAGCCCCTGTTGGGACAGACAGGGGGGGAAACTGGTAAGTGTCAGCTTAGGGGAAAGGGAGGGGGTGCCAGGGGGTAAAGCATGCGAGGGAGTGCGAGATCCTGGGCACTTGGTGGTGCCAACTCGGAGAGACCAGGACTCCTGGGGAGCGAGTGGGGGGGGTGCGGAGTGGCCGGGGTCGGGGGTGGGGGTGGGGTGCCAGCCGCGGTCCTTACCCAGCAGGAGTAATTTCACGTCTTTGGCGGCGCTGATGCCATCCTCTTTGAGGTTTTTCTCAATCGCCTTGCTCCGCTCGAGGGCGGCTCTCTCCTCTGCGCTCAGAGTACATCCCATGGTGGCCCCTTCCCTGCCACAGCCCGCACGACTCGGCTGGCACGGCTCCCCGGTTCGGCGCGCCCCCCACCCCCCCAGAGAGCAGAGCCTGGGCTCAGAGGGGGAAAAAATCACGATATCCTCCCCTTGGTTGGAAACAAAAATTTCAGGAAACCGACCCCCCCAAAAAAAACCCGGCAGCTAACAAGATTCCAGCAGCGAAGACTCGCGGCAGCTGGCGGGGCTCTGGGGGTGTCGAGGTGGCTGAGATCTGGGGCTCCGGAGCCGAGGGAGGAGGCGTCCACGGTCCGAGGAGGCGCGGGCTGCAGGCACCGAGGCTTGTGCACAACCCCAAATAAATAAAATAATAGTCGAGGCAGGAGCCGCAGCCGGAGCCGGAGGGTGGGGTGGGGGGCAGGGTGGGTCCTCGGCCGCTGCTGCCGGAGGAGGAGGCGGCGGCGGCGCGGGGTGTGGAGGGAGTGAGTTAGGGGGTGCTGCTAGTGCATGTGCATCGCCGCTCCTCAGCCGTCGGTGCGTCCGCGGCGCCTTCGCCGACCCAGCGAGCTGGGCAGGGCTGGGCAGGGGGCCGAGCCGGGGGCAGGTCTCTAGCAGGAGGCGGCGTCGCTGTCTCTCAGAGCTCGCATCGCCCGGCGGAGTCCACCCGAGAGAGAGATCGCGAGGGAGCCGCGGGCAGCCGAGAGTTCGAGGGGGAGAGAGAGAGAGAGAGAGAAAGAGAGAGAGGAGCGGCTAGAAGGGAGGGGAGGGGGAGAAATGAAGGGAGAG